TGTTCAAATTTTATTTTGTTTGAGATCAGGATAGCCACTCCTCGTTTTTTCCCGGCCCTATACGATGAATAAAATGTGTCTGAAACCCATTTTTTAAAATTTCTCATGTTCTGCATTGCCTCGATGGGTTTCTTGCCAATATGCTATATCTACTGTCTCCTTTTTCAATTTGGCAATTAGTTTGCTTCTTTTAATGGGACTATTCAGGCCATTTACATTTGGTGACAGCATTTTATAGAAATTATAAACCATCAATTGGACATGTGGAATACAACATAATCAACCCAGACCTCAAAACATTGCAACCAGAACTCACTGAACAGCGAACACAGAAAACATTAACAATGGCTTCCAATATAAAGGATATAAGACTGTCCTTTGATATTAAGGGGACTGGCCACAAGGTGGGGCTACTCATCACGACAAGAAGAAAGTGAAAGAACAAAAAAAACACAATACAAAAAATAAGCAAAATTAGTTTCTTATCGCTACTAGGAGTAACTTGGTAGCTCTCTGACCATGTCCGTAGGCACCAACCTAAAGAAGCATGAATTCTAAAAGGATACAAAAGTCATTGTTTACGCGGCCGGATTATCAAACCTCTACCGCCAGCTGTCTCACCGCTGTCCCGCCGTCAGCTGCTCACTCTTCTGCTGGTACTTTTTCTTGTTCCCTCCGGAATGCTTTGAGTTTTTCCCGGACCTGCTGTTGGAAGTCGCCCCTGCGGTGTGCTGTCTGCGTTTCCCACGGAAGTAACTGCCATATCGTGTCCTCTGTCATCCTGTTGATTTGACTCCCCAAGGTGATCTTACCCACGGCTATTCCCCGCTTTCTTAAATCCTCAGCAGCTTGGGTCGCGGTATTGTATAGGACACTGCCTGACGTATAAAACACTTGCATCTTGCTAAGTGGTGTCTGAAAGCGTATCCCGCTGTCTTTCAGAGCCTTCTTAACGGGGATATATTCCCGTCTCCTTTTCTGCACTTCCAGAGAGTAGTCATGGTCAAAATACACCCGTTTGTTTTGGATGTGTACCCCTTTATTCCATGCCGTGCGGAGAATCTCTTCTTTAACAGAGAACCGGAGGAAGCGCACTATTATTGAGCGTGGTGGGACGTTTGGAGGTGGTTTTGGTCCTAGCGTGTGGTGGGCACGCTCGATATCGAGGGCACGGTCCGGGCCGAAATCTTCTCCCAGCTGGTCCTTGACCGGTACACCGTAAATCTGGATGTTCTTGCGCCTAGCGTGGCACTCCATATCGGACACCTTTTCCTGAAGTGCCCATTGATTTTCCAACAGCTGTACAAGTGTGTCCTTAACGCCAATGTCCCAGCGTTCTGAGTCAGCCATGTTGTCTTCAACTTGCTTTAGCCGACCAGTTACCTCCTCTACCTGATCCGCCGTCTCGCGTATTCTTTGGTTCATTTCTTTAGATAGTTCGTCCATTTGTTTCTTGATATCCTCCCTAAATTCTGTACGGAATTCTTTGAAGTCACTTTTTAGTTCGGTTCGCAGTGTAGCCATTTTGGCCATCAGTACACTATTTACAGCATCCCGAAGCCAGTCCAGACCTTCACCTTGGTCGCCATCTTGTCCCGATGCGAGGCTTGCCTCATTAACCGCGGCTTCTTTCTCTATTTCACAATCAGGGATGTTTCGTAGCCCGTATCCTCCTTTTTTAGATTTATCCCCACTCATTATCGTGTCAAAGTATGGCAGTGTAACCGTAATACAGCTTTCGAGTTCGGGGAAATACACGGTTGGTGCCGGAGGTCACTTTTTATGCGGCCATACTGTGTTATGCGCAACTGGAAGTCCCCAGTAAACACAAATAATGTTCTTGTAACGCGTGAAGGGGCGTCAAACCCTGACATTATAAAAGCAATTGCTTGTGTATTTTTGGGTGGCGATCTATGCTGATTGTGTGCAGTATCTATCTCCCCGCGCGTGTGGAAGAGTGACACTGCCAGTTGGTGCAGGTTAATACTGGCAGTGTCACCATGCCAGCTGACTGTATTTCATCACCAGCCAGTGTTGTTCTTTATACATCAATATTACCAGCTAATTTCTCTCATTACTTATCCTACCTGCCAACTCCATGTTATGAATAGAGTGTAAATCACCCCATGAAATGGCTGTGCCATGTTCAATGCAGGGATGTGCAGTTCTGGTTCTCAAGGCTCCTGTCCTCCCGGTTTCAGATGTTTCCATACTTCAACACAGCTGATTTAAAGAATCATTTACAGACTTGTGCACAACTAGGTGTTTGGGGATTATCTGATTTGAATTGGCTATATTAGTATAGGTAACATCTAAAACGTGCAGGATAGGGGTCCATGAGGGCCAGAATTTGACATCCCTGACTTCTAGTCAAGGTCATACATCAGGAAAGTTGTTGTTTGTGACATAAGTTTTTGCTTTATTACTTCAGGGCCAACCAGTAGAGATAAAAGAATAAGAAGAATGAAAAGATCTCAAAATTTCTTCCTTAAGAAGGCTAAAATACAACCACAAGCAGAGAGCAATGTCAGGGAAAGGTAGACTGAGCAGCAGTCATCATTGTCACCTGTAAGATCTACAAATGAAGGTATGTGTGAGAATGAATAAGGAAAATGCAAGGAAGGGATGTTTATATTGTCAATTGTTCAACCAATCCATAGGGGACAAATCCTAATATTTGGGAATAAATAATTAACTGAGCAAATATATGTAGTGTGGCACATAATTGGAAAGTAAAACAAAATCCTGCTTTAAATAACATGTTTTTTTATTTAATGATCCACCTATTCTAAATCACTGATAATATTTGATGAAGCATAGAGTAGGTACTTGAGTAAATGTTCACTTTCAAAGCATAAATATTTTGCAACTGCAAGTGCTGCTGTTTACAAATGTTTTTGTACTTCTTGTCTTCCTAACATGTAACAGACTAACAGACTCGTATTAAAATTTCAAGAGGTTTATTGTTGCACAATTTATACTGAAAACATTATCAAAAAGAAGGTATAGAAAGTATATACTTGCTTTCAGGTTTAATTCAAATGTTAGTCTTTTCATTTGTTTCCCCACTTTTTTCCTGTTTCAAAATCAAACACCAGTTTGTGAGAAGATTATCTTCTTTTTTAATAGGTAGATAAAGTTTTGGATTGGCATTGGGTAATTTGCCATGTATGTTAAAAATGTTCAGATTTTTATTTTCAAAAATGTTTTTGCCCAAAACATATGTGCACTATATGTCAGTAACAATATTATGCAAATATTGCTGTCCTTGAATGCTGAATAAACACTGACAAAGCACTGATTGTATCTCTTGTACTTTATCAATGCAGTATCTAAAAACTTTGCAATGTAGTGGTTAAAATCTCATTCTAATAAGAGTTAAAAGTGCATTCGGTTATTAGGTTCATAGGGTTATTGAATTATGGTTAACGGTTGGTAGATTTTTTTTAAAACATTGTCTGCCAATTACATCTGCCACGCTTCTCCAAATCTGTGCCCCTACCTGGCCCCCCCAACAAAACTTTTCTAGACACGCCACTGCCCACTTCACAGCTGAGGCATATCAAGGGGCTGATTAGACAGCATGAATATTACACAGGTGTGCCTTAGACTGCCTACTATAAAAGGCCACCCTGAAATGTGCAGTTTGATCAAACAGCACAGTGCCACAGATGTCGCAACCTTTGAGGGAGCGTGCAATTGGCATGCTGTCCTCAGGAATGTCTACCAGAGCTGTTGCCCGTGAAATGAATGTTCATTTCTCTACCATAAGCCGTCTACAAAGGCGTTTCAGAGAATTTGGCAGTACATCCAACCGGGCTCATAACCGCAGACCATATGTAACCACACCAGCCCAGGACCTTCACATCCAGCATGTTCACCTCCAGGAGGAGTGGTTTGCTGATGTCAACGATGTTGATCGAGTGGCCCATGGTATGGGCAGGCGTATGTTATGGACAACGAACACAGGTGCATTTTATTGATGGCATTTTGAATGCACTTTGACGAGATCCTGAGGCCCATTGTTGTGCCATTCATCCACGACCATAACCTCATGTTACAGCATGATAACGCACAGCCTCATATTGCAAGGATCTGTACACAATTCCTGGAAGCTGAAAACATCCCAGTTCTTGCATGGCCAGCATACTCACCAGACATGTCAGCCACTGAGCATGTTTGCTCTGGATTGGCGTATACAACAGCGTGTTCCAGTTCCTGCATTTATATTTTTGTTTGGTGTAATAAAATGACTTAATTATAAAATTATGCAAGTATTTAATTAACATTAAAAAAATTAAAGCGAGCTCAGAGTTTAATGTATTCATCATACAATACAAGTATGTACTGTAACTGAAGTAATACTCTGAATGCAAAACTGTAATGGAGTATAAATAAAGTTTTTACATCCTGAAAGAAACAGAGGACAGTGAAGCAGTTTTTAATACTTCAGCTGTTTTCTCAGTGTGTGTGTGTGTGTGCGCGAGCCACACCTTGATGTGCAGATAGAGAAATATGTGGTCTGACTGCTCAGACTGAGTGTAAGAATAAAGTTCACATGCTGATGTGTGAAGACATGAAGTTCGGCTTGAAAGACAAAGGAAAGGGTACAAGATGATTCTCAGTGTTTGAAAGAAGCCAAGAAACCACAGGGGAGTGTGTTCATTTTAGGAAATCAACATTTGTGAAGAGTCTGAGGGATTGTGTTAATGAGACTATACACTAAATGTCAGCCAGGATCTCCTATGATGGGAATCAAAATTTAACACGAATGAATTCCATGAAGGAAATATGAATTTAACCTGACTGCAATCAAACACATTACATCTAATATTTAACAGTAGCACACTGCTGTGTGCTACTTTAGTAAATACACAACTGTTTTCTTCCTGGAAATAAAAACACACACATTTTGTTGTGTGAAGAAACCAAACATGAACTGAACAAACAGTAAAGTTCCTAAAGACAAACTGTTAAAGAAGGAAACAAAACAAACTTACAGTTTCTTCACACAGAGACACCAACAACAAGCTCCACTCCACACCTGAAAACTAAACACGGACATACAGGTGAGCTGCTTCCTGCAAGGAGGCGGGGCTTCACCTGAAGAGTGTGAAAGGGCCAGACTGATTTCAAAATATGCCGTGTGACTGGTCTGACTGAGTCTAAGTTAGAGGAAAGTTCACATGCTGAGGTGTGAAGACATAAAACTTTGTTGTAGCTGCAGGTGGGAACACACTGAGGCCACCTACAGGGCAGGTTGGGAACAACAGGGATCTGAAATCATGAGATGTTAATGAGTGAGAAGTTAGAAAAAATGAACTTAAGATGGCTATAAGTGATGAAAGTTGATTTAAAACAGAAGATAAATCCACTGATTCTTTGTAAAGTTCATCTTGTGCTCACATGAATCCTGTGATGAAAGCTTTATTTCACTGAATGTTTCTTCAAAGCTGATTTCAACCTGTTTAAGTCATGAGTGAAAGAGCAGACTGAGAGTGGATCACATGATGTTTAAGGTGTGTCATGTGACATGCTCAGTATTGTCACACATGTCTAGATTGTCCCTGATATCATAACTGCTCAAACACTGATGATTATATTTGAAGAATTATTACTGATGGCAGCAAGGTTTGAATGGAGCTCTCTGTCTGTGCTGATTTGTCGCCCTCTGGAGGTCAAAACACAAACTGCATGATGTCACCGTAACCACCACAGTGACAGGAAGTGTTTTTAAATGACTGAAACACTGAAATGATGCTAATGGCTGTCGTTAGGCTCACTGATAGCAGTGCTGATGTGTTCATGTCAAACACTGGCTCAGGTCAGACTCCTTCATCCTTCTCCAGCGTGAGGCTGCCCTCAGACCCACAGGAGCTCTTACCTTTCACCTCCTGACACTAACCATTTCAGTCTCTTTGCATCTTTAAATGCAAATCCATCCAAACTGTATCAGAGCAAATGAAGCTGGAAGCTGTTCTATGAATGATGTTCATACCAGAGTTTGTGTTTCCAGCTCAGACGTGTTAAAAGCTGCTGCTGTGCTACATTTGTCATTTCCTGCTTTCAATACCATCCATATCAAAGCGCTGAAGTCATCTGATCACTTTAATGCAGTAAAACAGGAGCTGTTAGTATTTTTTACTATTTATTTACTGTCATCACAAACACACACAGCTGGATTAGCACCCAGACAAAGGGCTGAAAAGCTGAAAATCAGCATCATGCACTTTTCTATATGTCAGTGCTGAAGCAGACGTCACTGATCACATGACTCTGAGGGATGTTTCCAGCACCTCGCTGAATCTGAGCCATGAAGGTTTAAGGCGGCTCTGAAGGCAAAGCTGTACCTAATTAAGTGGCAGCAAGGACTCAGTCAGTAATGATAAGAGCCAGCAGGGGGCAGCACAGAGAGGTGAGGCGTTGTCAGAGAAGCAGCCTGACATCCGACTGGTCATATTCCATCATCTATACCTGAAATAATCATCAAACACACGCAGAGCAGAAACATCTGGAAACATCTGGAGCTCAGTCTCAGTTTGATCCCTCAGAGGTTTACCTCAGTCCTGCTCCTCTGCTTCCTGTTTAAAGCGCACACATCATGCTGTGTACTGAGAGTTATGTGGTCAAAGCGAGGCCCTGGTACTCTGACAGAGAGCTAGCACAGTTATCCTAATGTGTGACATCACTACTAACCAGAAAGATTTCAGCTTTAACAGCCAACCAACATCCTGTTACACTGAGCATGTGCAAGCACAGCTCTCAGCTTCCATCACTCACAAGCTCCACCCTCCACTTAAAAGTCCAGAACAAAGCTTGTGACCAGCACAGTGCAGACAGAGGTGATGTTCACGCTCTGTTTCTGGGTGGGAAACTCACCTGTGGGTGTGGCTGTTCCTCCCCTACAATCTCTGATGTCACAGCTGCTAAATTAGACTGAACTAAAGCCAGACTCAAACAGAAACAGCCTCAAAGACTCAGAGAGAGAGAGCGCTGCTCCATCTCTGGACCCATATATATGTTCCACCACCATGCTGCAATGCACCCTGGCCCACCTGTCCTTCAAATCCAGGGACAAGGAGGACACGTTTGTGGGAGGCTAGGATTCTGGACGGCCTTCGTGGCCTCGCTGCATGTCATGGACCTCCAGAGGAAGCAGCTCATGTATCCACAGATCTAGAAACATCGAGCTGCTGTTTCAAACAGTCTCACTGTGGCTCTGCTCAGGACTGTGGACTCAATCTTTGAGCTCTGGACTTCAGACTGACTCCACACTTCCTGTTTATTCATCACCTATACCTGCTATAAAAAGCCAGAACAGGAAAATGTTTTTCTCTTTTCTCCTCAGCATTTATGATGATGTCATGATTTTGAAGAGACTGCTATGGTGGCCTCCCATGACCCCCAGCCTCATCTACACTGAGATGCAGACATTTGAAAACATTCAGCACACAGCAGACAACTGAATAATAGTACAACAAAACAGTCTGTGTACAGACACACTGTGATGGCAAGCCACACATGGTAAGCTCCACCAGTTGATTCACTTTAGCTACTTTAATATATTCTACTTATTGTTCAATATTGTTTCTTTATTAAATTATTTTTTTCCATCACACCTTCCGATGTTTATATGGCGTGCACACATATTAACACTGCAAGGTCAAAGTTCTGTTTTAAGTTATATTAATACATTTTTCTTTGTTTGAGTTACCTGATTTGGCTTCTCCTCCTGTCCGGGCTGGGAGAGCTGAAGTACCACTGACAGCCGAATTGGATTAAACCACATGCTTCATTGCCTGGGGGGGGTTTTCAAGTTTGGTTAATTGTTTTGTATTAGTTGGTTATATGGCAGCCATTTTGTTTTCCCCCTTGTGTGTCATTTGGTTTAGCTAAACCAGTATTTAAGTTCCCCCGTGTGTTAGTTTATCTTATGTTTGTTTGAGGTTTTGTTAATTATTATCTTGAGTTTAGTCTATTGAGTTGACCTCTTTTATTGGTCTGCCTGTTTAAGTTTTTTGGCTTTGTTAAATATATTTTCATATTTTTGGCTCCCTGACACACACACTGAACTGACCTTTCATATAGTCAAAGGAGTCAATCAAACACAGCTAGTTTAGTCATTTCTTGTGTGAGTCTAAAGTGAATCTAGTATTTTAAAGTTCACTTCCTGTATTTGTTGTTGAAGACTTCTTCAGCTTCTTCTCAAGGACATCAGCTGCTTGTTTGGCAGCAGAGGCAGTTAAGAAGCTTCCTGAAAAACACTGAACAGTGAGTTAACTGTGGAATATGACAAATTCAGCTTTCTATGTGGAAATGTGTCTGTGTCAACCTTTCAAATGCTAAACTGTTGAATCCAAAACATCAGCGGCTCCTTGGCTGCTCACTTCATGCACTTCTGTCTTTGTGACAGTCCAATGACATCACAGCT